GCCGCGGCTCCCCCGCCCTCCGCGGGTGTGCTCGCCCCCTCAGGCCTCCCTCGCCTACGGCACAACCCGGACCCGCCCTTCTCCCCGAACACCCTCTTCACTTCAGTCACCCAGCCACCCGCCCGGCCACCCACCCGGCCTCGCTCCCTCCCGTCCATCCATCCACCCGCCTGCCTCCAGCCTCCCTTCCGCTCCAGCCATCGTGTATCCACCCACCCACTCATCCTTCTCACCCACCCATCCACCCACCCAGCCCCCCTCCCGTCCATCCATCCACCCGCCTGCCTCCAGCCTCCCTTCCGCTCCATCCATCGTGTATCCACCCACCCACCCATCCATCCACCCACCCACCCACCCATCCACCCACCCAGCCCCCCTCCCGTCCATCCATCCACCCGCCTGCCCACCAGCCTCCTTCCACTCCATCCATCCGTGTATCCACCCACCCACCCACCCACCCATCCATCCATCCATCCACCCATCTACCCACCCGGCCTCCCTCCCACCCATCCATCCATCCCTCCGTCTAACCATGCATCCATCCTCCTAGAACATGAATTAAGAACCCCAAAGGTGCCAGGCCCCAGGCGGGGTGCCGGGCCGGTCCTGGGCAACACAGACGGCCCCGGCCTCCCCGAGTCTGCATCAAGTGGGCAGAGCCAAAAAAATTATCCCACGAATAAATGAACATTTATTAAAACTGAACTGCTGTGAAGAGGTGGCACCTTGGGCCGTGAGAGGAGCATTTGCTCTGATGGTGATGGAGGGGTTTGTGTCAGGAGAAGTGTCTGGGAAGAAGTGACTCTTATGCCGAGAGATTCCGAGGAAGAGGGGTTGTGAAAGAGATGAAAAAGTCTCCTGGGCTGGGGGCCAGCCTGTGCAAAGGCCCTAAAGCAGGCAGAAGCAGGTGAGCAGGAGGGACGGAAAGGAGATGCTGTGACTGGAGTGGAGGGGTAGGGGCATGGGAGGGAATGGCTGGAGGGGTGGCAGGGCAGGGACAGCCCTCCTGGTCACCACCCCTGGCCCATTCTCTTCCCTGCCAGGCTCTCTACAGGGGCCTGTTTGATGCCCCCACACTTGGAGTGCCACTCCTTGTCCCCAAGCCCCAGCCCATGGCCTCACCCAGGACCTCCCATATGCCCTGTGCTCCTCCACGCCTAGTGCAGCATCCCTGCCCCTGGTTCCCACCCCAAGCAGAGTTCTGAGACGCCGGCGTGAAGGCAGGTGCTGGTTTTATTTGGGACCAGCTTCTGGAAGGAGCGAGGTTGGAGTCCTCCTGGTGGGGTGCTCAGCTGGCCCTGGTGATCCCAGCTCACATGGGCAGCTGCCCCGGAAAGCCTAGGTCTGGGCAGACCCTGGTCTGCGGCTGCTGTTCTCACCTCGGGCCTCTGGGAGCCGAGGACACCTGGGGCCCCCTCCTCTTGGCCGCAAGGCTGAGGGCACGGGCTCACAGCCCCTCCGCGGCGGCTTCGGACCCTGCGTCCAGCAGGGCTGTGGTGATCTCCCTCCTCCTCAGGGCCGGGTGCAGCGGCGGCCGGCCCCTAGGGTGGCTGCCGGGGCTCCTTCCTCCGCAGGGAGCTGGCCACGGCCAGGGCCCCGCCCTGCACGAACCGCACGAAGTTGTCCCCAGCCAGCGGCCCAACGGCGTACAGGCCCTCCTGGCGCGCGCTCTGGTAGGTGAAGGGGTCCACGTCAACCGGGTTCCGCTTGGCACTCAGCGGCTGGTCGGGGTCCACGGCCAGGTGGGTGCCGGCCCCGGGCAGGAAGGAGAGGTCGGGGTGGGAGCCAATGAGGACCAGCACCAGGGAGACCCCGAAGACCGCCTCAGCGCCGTCGGGGTCCCGGAGCACGGCCTGGCAGTCGTCCTTGAAAAGCAGCAGTCGGTGCCCAGGGAGGCTGCGGTAGCCCGCGTAGGGGCTGGGCGACAGGATGGACCTCTCACGCATCATCTGGTGCACCTTGTGGTACTCGGGGTACAGCATCTTGGGCAGCTGGTTGAACACCATGCCGGGGTCGTCCACCGGCCGGCGGAAGGCGTGGATCACCGGGATGCCGCAGTGGCGGGCCAAGAGCACCGCGTCGGCCGCCGACAGCCCTGCGCCCACGATGAGGACCGGATCGGAGGCCGGGGTCACTGCGCCTGCCCTCGTGGCGGCCTCCAGGGCCGACAGGTCGTGGTGGACGAAGGGCAGGGCCTCCCCGGGGACACCCAGCCGCGCCGGGCTGTCGAAGGTGCCCGTGGCCAGGACCACGTTGCGGGCCCACAGCGAGAAGGGCTGGCGGCCGTGGTCCCGGCTCAGGGTACCGCTCACCTGGAAGAGGGGCCCGGGGTCCCGGGCAGTGGGGCTGCGGGGCTCAGGCGGTCCCCACTCCACGGCTGTGACCACGGCACCAGATACAAAGTTGTGGCTCAGACCCTTCTGGGCCACGTAGTCCCTGTAGTAGTGGGCAATGTCCCCGGCCGTGGCCCGGCTGTTGCGAAGACCCCTGTGAGCGGGGGACACAGAAGGGCGGGCGTCAGAGAGTGTTCTGGGGTGTTGGAGCAAGACCAGGCTGGTATCAGCGATCGGCAACCCCGCCACCCGCCAGAGGTGGGGCCAGGCCGGTGGCTCAGCCTCTCCCAGCCTCCGTCTCCACTTCTGTAAAATAGAGCTAACAGGGGCACCTCCCTCAGGAGAGCACTGTGGGGTGGGTTCTGGCTGTGGCCTCTGGAGCCACACCCTGTGACCCTGACGTGAGTGAATGGTGTGTCTGACACTCTGCCTCAGTTTCCTCCTTTGCAACATGAGGATGGTGGTGGAGGGAGAACCCACCTCGTGAGGCTGTCAACAGGATTCAATGAACAACGTGCCTGGGACAGAATCTGACTGGTAGCAAGTGACATGGACGGACGAGCCGCTGTTACTGTCACCTCAAAGGATTAGATGGAATGGAGGGGGAATGCTGATTGAAAAGCCCATGGGGGGGGGCCTTCTGGGGGGTCTATTTTTATTCTGAGGGCCCATCTGGAGAAATGTCACCCACCTGTACTAATATGAGTTGTGTGCTTTTCTGTAGGCAGTCAGTTAAAAAGTAGATTAAGAAATATCCCAGTCAGGCATGGTGACTCACCCCTGTTATCCCAGCATTTTGGGAGGTGAAAGTGAGAGGACTGCCTGAGCCCATGGGTTCGAGACCAGCCTGGGTAACTTGAAGAGCCAAATAAGCCAAAAAATTAGTGCTACAGTAAACCAAAAAAATTAGCCAGGTGTCCCAGCTATTTGGAAGGCGGGAGTGGAAGGATTGCCTGAACCCAGCAGGTCGAGGCTGCAGTGGCCATGAGTGTGTCACTGCACTCCAGTCTGGGCAACAGAGTGAGACTGTGACTCAAAAATAAGAGAAATATCCCATGTTGGCCAGGTGCAGTGACTCACACCTGTAATCCCAGCACTTGGGGAGGATAGCTTGAGGCCAGGCATTGGAGACTAGCCTGGGCCACATAGTGAAACCCTATTTCTAAAAAAAAAGGAAAAAAAAATCCCACATGAAGCGCTTGCCAGCGTCCCCAGGCCACACAGTAACAGCAGGAGCTATTTTATTATTGTTATTATTATTATTCCTGTTTTTATTAGTGCTCTGTCCAGGGGCAATGACGGCAGGGCCAGTGGGGCTGAGACTGCACCCCGAGGCCATGCCAGCTGCCCCACTCTTGGCACCTGCTGCTCTGGGGTTTATCTCTGTGGGTTTGTCATGTCCCTTTGCTCAGTTTTTGTAAAACTGTGATGAAGCCCCGTCCTGAGGCAATGTCCTGAGCAGCATTGTTTATAATACCGACACTCTGGGAAGACGCAGTGCCATGAGGACAGGACCCTCTGTCGGGGTTTTTTGCTCTGAATCCAAGCACAAGACCTGGCACGGGGGAATTTTAATGTTCAATGTTCAAGGTTTGCTGAACTGGGGATGCTCCCTCCTTGGGATATTACCAGGCCATGGCAAAGGATGGTGGCAACACTGTTTCACCATCTAATGGGAAAACACGAAAGTCGCTGGGCACAGTGGCTCATGCCTGTCATCCCAGCACTTTGGGAAACTGAGGCGGGAAGATTGCCTGAACCCAGGGGTTCAAGACCAGCCTGGGCAACTTGGTGAGACCTTGTCTCTACAATAACTCAAAAAATAAGTTGGGTGTGGTGGCACATGCCTATGGTTCCAGCTACTTGGGAGGCTGAGCTGGAAGGATCACCGGAGCCCAGCAGGTCAAGGCTGCGGCGTCCATGAGCATGCCACTGACTTTCAGCCTGAGCGACACAGTGAGACCCTAACTTTAAAAAAAAAACCAAATGTAGAATCTAAGAGGGTACGTTTACAAGTGAAACTGACTCTCCTGTCTGTTAACACATCACCCCTGAGCCCAGACAATCTCCTCCCAAATGTGCAGGATGGAGGCTCTTTGGATTTAAGAGATCTTGAAGACAGGAGAGTGAAGCCCAGAGTCTGTTGGGAGGATGCCGGCCCTGTCACAGCCCTGGGGTGGGATCACCTGGCCTCCCCTGCAGAGGCCGCCCCTACCCAGGTGTCTGCCGGCAGTGCTTCCTATGAGCAACTCCATGCTCCTTCATTCAGGGATGTGACTGTGTTCCCAGGTTGGCTGCAGTGTGCAGGTGGACACCCTGGAGCAGAGGCCAGTTGGGGAGAGGATACCCCCGATGGGACAGGGCTGAGTCAAAGGGCAGACTGGCATGTCTTGGCTTCCCTTTCTTAATGCTCAGTGCTCTGCCTCGTGGCCATGGTTTTAATGCAAAGGATTTAAATAAGAAGGAAGTGCACCCTACCTGCTGACCCAGGAAGGACAGCCATCAGAGGAGCAAGCGGAAAGGGCTGCCAGAGGCCTGGGGGACCCCACTGTCACCCTTTCCCTAGAGGCACAAGTCAGGGGCCATGGGATTGAAGGAGGGAGCACGGGACAGGGAGTCTTGGGGTAAGCCTGGTTCCCTAACCCCCTCCCACTCGTGTGCCAAGCCTCAGTTTCCCCCTGGAAGAGGAGGAGGAGGGCGGGCTGAGCTCTGCAGCCCAGGTGTCTGCCCTGGGCTCGGCGTGCAGGGCCGGCGGCCTCACCTGCGCTTCTTCTGCATCCAGTCCTTGACCTGCAGGTCTGGGAGCCCCATCCACTGGCCCTGGCTC